ACAGGTCATCTCAGTAACAAAACATAGTGAATTACTGTATTTATGCTGGATACATAGACATGTACACACACACAAACATTCAAATGAAAAAGAATAATATGGTGGGTATAAATTCCACTACAGTGAGGGTGATAAATCACTGTAACAAACTATAAGGAAGCTGTGAATGCTCTCCTTTGATGTCTCAAATATACAACAGGCAAACTACATCTCCCTGAAGAGTACTCAAATATTGGTCATCTTTTAATCTGTCAGTTAACTAAATTAAATGAGTTAAAGTATAATTATCTGTGATTTGATATGAGTTCCTATCAGAAACTAAACAGATTTCCTTGCTTCTACATCCTCCCTCCCCTCTTTAAAAACGTAGATTTGGGACAATCCAAACTGTGTAATTCAAGCTAGTATAAAATATTTTGGTTTTGTAAACCCTTCATCTTTTTCCTTCTGTTCTTACCTTAATTAAGGATTGTTCAGTTTTGAAATTAGAAGTCTAAATATTTTATTTTAAAAATATTTGTAATGAACATTTTATCTTTGTAAAAAATGATAATTTAAAAACAAATATGTCTGCACCTATTTCCTAGCTTTGAAAATGTATGGGCTTCCTTGAATTTCATTTTTCATACAAAATTACTGTTTGTGGAATAGGATCACAGGAGGTCAGAGAAGATAATTTAACAGTCCCTCTGGCCGCATAAATGCTCTGATTCTAAGCCCTAGAGTTGAGAATTGAGTAGGAAACCTATTCATAAACACAGAGACCAAAGTGTTTTTCAGACTATCAAGTGTGACCCTCCACAGCTGATGAAAAGACCTGTATATTAACAACATCACATTTATTTTGAAGAGTACTTGTGGCATTTTGATAAGAGCATGGCAGTTTCTGATGAAAATCAGAGAGAAGGAATATCTCAACTGAGACAGATGATCCAGGTGGTCTCAGACAGAGCTGATAAGTACCACAAGTTGTGCTGGTGGACAGATGATTTACTCTTTCAGGATGCAGAGGTGGAAAAGGAAAACTATCAGAAGTGATCGAAGGAAGTGACACAAAGGAAAAGACATTAATAATAACGTATTAGATGTCTTTCATTCAGACATTATTCTCCTGAATTATCTCATAGTACTTGAATCTGATAAAATGAAGAGGTAGAGGTTAAAGAAACACTGTCTAAAGCTAGTTAGAAATTAAGAAGGTAAGAGGAGAGAAATACTGAAAATGTTATTGCAAGAAAACCATAAGTAGATTGTAAAATCAGTTTTCATGCTTTGAAATCTCACACCAAATCTGGCTGCTAGAGACAAATTTGTTGTGATGAAATGTGTATCCTTCAAGCTTGTTTTATGTTTAGCATTCAGTGATGAGTGATATCATAAAACTGGGCAGTATTTTAATATTTTAAAAAAACTGGTCAAAATTCTGCAGTGTATTATGAACTGTGCACCCACTGTGGGGTAATAGCACCCATTTATGGATTGGGTGTAACTAACTTTTGCTTTAATTGCCATTAAGTGGTAGCCCTTCCCAGGTTTATTACAGTATCATCAAAATGTTACATACTGAATTCCAAGATTCTTGGCTGTAAATTAGAGAAGAGTCTGGGTCTTCCACACGAAGGATCATGATTTCATCCTTTTCTTCCCAATCCCAAAGTTCTGGATGTTTCAAATAGCTCACTTTAATATATACCTACATTCCTGTCAAGCACCACTGCGATAGGAGTGCTCCTGAATGAGCTGAATGTCCTTATTTGTTCCAGCAAGGAAAAATCTTTGTTGCACTTTTTTTTTTTTTTTTTTTTTTTTTTTTTTTTTTTCTTTTTTTTTTTTTAATTAAGATCCACTTTCTTAATCTCATCTGAATTTATTATATTTATTATTCAAAATAAGAAAGTCAGCTTGGGACACTACTGATAGGAAGGAACTCTACCTAGCCCAGGAACACAAATAAAATTTCTTGAGCAATTTAATCAAAATAGAGGCAGTGCAATTTTAGGACCTGTACTAGAAAAACCCTCCACACTGTGGTCATTTTGTCTATAGAGAATGAAAAGTGAATGACCATTAAACACTCATTGAAAAGAATTGTTAAAGGAAAAAAAATGGCATCAGGATTTGAATAAGATATTAACACTTGTTTCCTTCTTGACTTTTTCTTTGTAATTCTATTTCACTACCTTTTTAAACATTCATTCTTCCATTTAATTCTACTTTAATTATTAGGGACATAATATTAAATATGAAAACTTTTGGTTTTTGAGATCCAGCAGGTTTTGTTTTCTAGATGCCTGTATTGCTGTGCATCTGCATCTATATTTCATATTTCATATTCCATATTTAGTATTCAATGTTTACAGAAGAGGTAAAAATGGTTACTTGTGTGGTGTTAATTAAACAGTTAAGAGGACAGATTGGAGCTGTCATGCAAAGAATAAGAGAAACTAGAGAATAGACACTAGGGAACAGTTGACACAGAGATATAAGGCTCTCACTAGATAGTCACTATCTGAAGATGTAGGAGGAAAAAATAAAGCGGGGGGAGAAAAAAAGCACAATACAGACAAAAATAAGTAACACAGTATGCAGCTTCTGTGTGGTTTCTGTTTTGGTTTTGCAAGAGTCACAGTCGGAAATCAGAGTTGTCTTTTCTGTCTCTTTTATGCTATTGTTCAAGTGTTTGAAAATTGAAGTTCCCTTCATTTGGGGAATTTAACACCCTCAGCCTCGCCTTAGAATCCTGACTGCTATACCCTTTAAGGTAGATGGACTTTAGGGAAAATCTCACACCCCTTTGAAGAATTTACACATCTTTATGTCATACACTGCTTAATTTCCTCAGCTTCTTATTTAACACTAAAACAGTTCCTTGACCTTTATTCCTGAGAGTGTCATGGGAATACATAATCTAGTTCTTCCCATTCGTTTGCACTTCAGGCCTTATTATCACTTACTACCATTTCTGTGATGCTTAATACATGTGAGAGACGAGAAACCAGGCCTGTGAGAAACTAAGAAAAACAACCTGGGAAAGCAAAAGTTGAGGCTGATTGAAGAAATGCCTCAAACACTCCCAAGACAAAACTCTGAGTCACAGGGTGCTTTCTGTGGAGGCTGAAGCTGATAAGGCTGCCCAAAGTAGCTGGGGGAGAGAGCCCTGTGGAGACAGGACGGCTCTGCTCTGGGGCACCTTTGGAAAATTTCAAGGGCCATGTGTCCGGTGAATGAACTTTGCTTCATTATCCATGAAATGCATATTAAGTTAACGCCCCTCAATATGCTAACGAGGGCTGTCATGATCATGCTAGTGACATCATCCCATGAAACACCTTACCCTCCCCATACATGGGATATGTAGGTATGTGCGTCAGCCCAGGGGATGGATCCAAGGAAAGTGGGAAAAATGTGGGAAAATGGGAGAGAGCAGTGAAGTGAAGAAGACAGATGCCAGAGAAAAAGACGGCCGCCTCCTGGAACCCTCGCTGGCAGGATCAGCACAGGAGCCCAGACCAGTGATCTGTATTCCCCCATTCCCTATATCTCCCTCTTTTTTCCATTAAGAAATGCAAGGCATATTATATTGCTCGTCACAACTTGCTATATACTTAGCCAGTTATCGTGTGCTCAGTTAGTACATTGTAGGTAGTTAATAAATGCTTGGACTTGGAGACTTGTTGTCCGCTCCAGTTGGGGATTTGTGAATCTGAATCACTTGTCCCCCTCGTCTGAGCGGGATGTGACAATATACTTCTACAAATTCATATTAAATTAATAAAATTATATCTGTTAAGTATGACTTCCTTTCTCCTGTTCCAGCCCAGAAAGCCATATATTTATCTTTATGTGTGGGTTTTTTTTAATGGGGAATGCTAAGGTTGATGAGAAAGCAAAGCTGACTTCACATTAAAATTGAGTTAAAACCTGATAACTCAGCCCCCTTGGCACTTAAGAAAGCACTGGTTCTGAAGGCTTGTTCTAACATGAAAATGCTGCCTTCCTCATGCATAAATCCAGACCCTGAGACATGCCTGCTGACAGCTTACTCTAAAACAGCAATTGAAAAATTATGATAAACAGAAGACAATCTCTTAATTGCCATTAAAATGAGTGGAGCATCCTCATCCTGCATGGCTTAGAAATATTCAATGGTCATAAATACAAAATAATGCTCACGTATATTGAATCATATAATGCAAGCCATTAATTGTAAGTGCAGTCAGAGAACAGCAAGAGCAGGATGTTACCTAATGGAAGACAAACTTGGACCTGATGGCAGCCATGATGGCAATTCCCTCACTGACAGGGCACAGTCCCCCACCAGAGGCAGGACAACAGAGTATGGGGAGGACTGCAATGGGTCCTAACACCAGTCCTTCAAGCATCATGAAAAGTCAAAATAACAAACCAAATCCAAGTCAATCCAGGAAACAGAAATTTCAGGAACAAGACAAGGGCTAAGCCTGCCTACAATGTAGCCCAGGCAAGAATATGCGTAGGGTGGAAGTGATTCTTTCTCAGAGACTGCCACTGAAACTACCTGTCAGCATTATAACACTAAGTTCTTTCTTATACAGTATGTAATTCAACTGCAGAAAATACTGTCACCACATTTAATGGAGGCCAAAGGAATGTGTATGTTCAGAGCAGATTTAGGTGAATTAATAGATTTTATGTCTACCAGTAGCTATTATAATTGTGACAGTTGGATCACCCGGTCCTTAATTCCCAAATTGTTGATTGCTAAATTGAAAGAGAAAAGATCACTCTACCTAGTCTTTCTGAAAACATTTACTAGTCACTATTAGGATCATGACACCTTGGTTTGATCCTTCATTTTCTTAAAACAGCCTTTGCATTTTTTCAACAGAAATGTTTTATGTCATAACCATAATATCAAGGATATGAAAGACCTCACTGCAAAATTAAGGCATAGAGAAAGAATATGTATAGACAACAAAGTCAAGAAAGAAAAAGATGTCCAAAACAATCAATTTTAGAACTATCTATCAAATGCTAAAAAACTTTTTAAGCAACCTAGACAACTAATCTTTGTGTGAGAGGATTAAGAAGGACTTCTGCTAAAAATTCATGAGGATAAACTAAAAAGATGGTAACAACATTTCCAAGATAGTCTGCATGGAAAAAAACGCCTAGGGTTAAACCTAGATACCCATAGAAAATCCCAGAACTTCAGTAATTAGCTGTGACCTTCCACTGAACAGGAAACAATTAAAGCTGGTGAAAAAGTATGCAGGAATCTGCATGGCCAAGGCAAAATATCAGGCAGAATCTGACATCTGAAAAAAATGACCAAGCATCTACAATAATGCACTGAATACAAAAACACAACCTTAATTGTCACAGTGCCACAGAAGGAAGATGAGCCAAAATATATTAAGCAGCTCAGCAGAATATTACCATCACTTCCAGGAAATATCCATAGCAGATTGATATTACAGCAAAGGAAAAGAAAAAAAGGAGGTAAGAAAGGAATCTACAGGTGTCAGAGAAAGGACATTATATATTGAACAAATACAGTGTTTTGAAGAGTCCTGGGAAGAAACATTGAATGGAAAATGCTAATCACTATTAACCTGTGTCATTCTGAAAATCTTGTTATTCTTGCAGAAAATGCACAGAGGATAATGACTGGCTGTGGAACACAAGTTAATGAGCATTGTGGGTTAACCTTGGCTAGCAGCTAAATGTCCATCCAGACACTCGCTCACTTTCCCCCTCAGTGGGATCTGGGGAGACAATAGGAAGACTGAGAAGGTCCATGGGCAGAGATAAAGAAAGGGAGATCACTTACCAATTACCATAACAGACAAAGCAGAATTACCTTCTGAAAAATTAACTTAATTTATAGCCAATTAAAATAAATATTCTGATACCGACTTGGGTGATGGGAAATTACCAACACCTTGCCACCTACACTCAATACAGCAAGAAAAAAAGTCTGTGTTATAATAGCATATTTTGTCCACTCTCAAGCCAAATCCAATGTATTATTTGTTGACAAGAATAAAAAATAAACCATGCAATTGTTCTTACTTGTTGACTACATAGTGAGAACAAGACTTGAAGGAAAACGTACAGAATGTCTTGGACTGTGAGTCAGAAATGTAAAGACCTAGACATTGAATGCAAATGTTGAATAAACTTTCTCCCAGTTTCTGCACAGAAAAGCACAGAAAGCACAAAGGGTAGCTCTAAGGAGACAAAACTAAAGATTCAAATATTACAGTGATTCCTTTGGTAATCAGTGTTTTTAACAGGAAAACAGGAATTCCCATTAAGTAAACACTAGGTGTCTTGTTATCTACAGAGCTGGATAACAATGGACATAATTCAAAAGCAGAAAGAATAAGAACTGGTAGAGTGTCTCTAATGAACAAGTTGCATAACATCTGGACTACAGACACCTATCCAATGGTAAAAATTATTGAGGCAAACGAGCATGATTTTTACTTATTAACTGTGGAGATCAAAAAATTTTAAATGGATAGACCAGGTTATAAAACTGGACAAATATAAAAAATTTAGGAACACATCAACTGCTGAATTTCTATTACAGAAAAATATGGAGAAAATGGCTTGGAAATGTCTGAAGAATAGAAACACAAGCAGTCCTTACTTCTCCAAAGACCACAACAGTGAACATTTAGTAGAATCACATAATGGTTGAGGTTGGAAAGGAGCTCTGAAGATTAACTGGTACAATGCCCTGCTCAAACACAGCTACCTAGACCCAATTTCCCAGACCATGTCTAGATGGCTTTTAAATGTCTTCAGGGGTGGAGATTACATAACCTATCTGGACAACCTGAAAGACAGATAGAAAGCAAAATAGAAAGATAATGAGTCAGGAATAAAATAGAAAGTTAGCTAAAATATTTGAAGAATTAATTTATTTTTTAAAAAGACTATACTTGATTTTTTTCACAGAATTCAAGAATAAATAACAAAATACAGACTTACAATATAAGGTTAAATTTTGTAATTAGTTAAAAATTACAATATCATGTTATCATTAAAATGTTTGCATGTCTACCTATTGCAGAGAATACAAGACATTGAATTAACTATTACCTATCTAACTACAATTAAGCAGCATGATAGAATCTCGCTGATTTTAAGACACTTTTACATATTAAAAAATAATCTATTAAAAATATAAACATTTTATGGAGATCTGATTTATTTTTGGATCAAACAGAAAAGGAAATAAAATTAACAGACTTCAAAGGTGGACTTTTTAATCCTTTATTTTAAAGCATTGTCACTAAATGAAAAGAAGATCATAATTAGAAGGTAGCTTTATAATTATAGGAGAAATGTTGAATGTAACTGTTGATATAAAAGTAAGCAAGATGCAAAGTACAAAATAGGTTTCCCTAAAACAGTCAAGCTTCTTCAGTTTCTTTTTGTCTCGTAGAGACACATATTCTAGTTAACCTAAAGTGAAAGTTAATATTTCTCTAGCTTTATGACATGTCTGTGGTACTACAGAAGGCAAATGCAGTTGCTCATGGAAAGTTATGGGTGCTTTAGATCCTCCACTAATAGCACCAAGTACACCATTTTATGTGTTCTTTATTACACGATACAGTTCTTGTCACAGAGCAGTGAACCCTTACCCAGACATTTAGCTTTTATACTCCACACAAAGCTTTCTATTTACATTGGCGATTCCTATCCGCTTAGGATATTCTGGGAATTTATAGCCCGTACATACCCCAGAAAAGAATGAACACAAGGCAACCTACGGAAGTTAAATACCACTTAAATTACAGAGACATGCATTTAGATTTTCTGGTCTTACATTAAGTGAACAATAATTTTGCTTAGCCAAATAACCAGTTCCTTAAATGACAAAATAGCCAGCTCCTTCATGCTTCATTAAGTCTATTTTTGAGTCCTCTTCACTAAGTCATAGCTTACCAGTAAAGAATATTGCTGTAGGAAGGTATCAGTGTCTTCTCAATTTATTAAAAACACTTTAGAGTATCAATGAATTAAACTATACTATATGCATTTAAAAAGCAGTATATCTTTCCATTAACACCAAATTAAAACTTCAGTTTTGTATTCCAAAAAGAGGATGAGAAACTTGTAAAGATTGCAGAAATGTGAAAAGGCTTAAATTTCTAAGGAGTCAAAAATTGAGTTGAATGAAGTTAAATGGATTCTTGCCCATGTAACACATTACATTAAATGTTGCTGGCATAAATGGTTTGAGAAATCCTAGCTTTTAGATTTACCTGCATTTACACAAAGAAGCCATCAATTAGTGCAGGACCCTGAGACATAAAATGGCGTCTTGATGCCAGGACTGGCCCAGAAAACTGATCCTTCCCACAATGTAGCACAAAAGCATATATTTCTGGAGATAAAAGATGGAAAAAAACTGACAGATTGTAAAGCTCATATGAAATCTAACCTGCATATTGACAAAAGCATCTTTATTTCTGTATAAGGACCAGTAAACAGCATATTTGAAATTATAAGTTCCTTGGGGCAGAGAAAACTTTTGGTTTGTGTGCATGCTATTTACATTCACGGGGTACCCTCCAGCCAACAGCAGGGCCCTGTGGGCTCTGGTATGATATAAAGTAAGAGAATCTCCTACAGTGTCCCACCAACTTGCGACTGCAAACTGAGGTGTACCTCTCCACTGTTACACCTGTGTTCCTCTGTGTTAACTGAGATCAAAAGTGCCATGAGTTTGCGTGGAGAGATTCACCATCACAGGCCATATACTTGGTGCCCCCTCCTTGCCTTTTCACCCAGCCTTCCAATTTCTGTTGCAAGGAAACAGCCTTCACAGAGGCATCTGCAGTATGTGGGAGGGAGTTTAATGACCTCTCAAATGAACTTAGGTTACAGAGACAACAACTACAGGCCCAGAATGGAGGATTGTTTTAAAAGGCAGCAAAAATGCATGTGAGGAGTATGTGTGGCAGGTGAGCTTGAGTTTGGGGACCTGGTCTACAGAGACAGTTCAGGATAAGAACAGGAAAGTAGACATAAAGATCTGGATTTGGCTGAGCTACTGGAGAAAGACACAAGGCAAATGAGAACTTGCTTTAAGAACAAATTCTGGGTCTTGTATCTGAATCTTGCCAGGTACCTTATATTATGTAAGTCTGGTTCTCATCACGTAATCGTAGAATGGTTTGGGTTGGAAGGGACCTTAAAGATCATCTCGTTCCAACCCCCCTGCCATGGGCAGGGACACCTTCCACCAGACCAGGTTGCTCAAAGCCCCATCCAACCTGTCCTGGAACACTGCCAGGAAGGGGGCAGCCACAGCTGCTCTGGGAAACCTGTGCCAGTGTCTCACCACCCTCACCATAAATAGAGCAATTCGGACTGAAAAGGACCTGTAGAGTCATCTGGTCCAAATGTTCAGAGCAGGGCCAGCTCAGAGCAGGGGCAGCTTGATCATCAGCAAATGAAAGAGATATCAAAGATCTTGTTGTAGTGCAACAGTACAATGTCCTTTCTTTGTGATTTGTTTTATAACATAGTTCTCTTATTTAATTCTGTAAGAATATTTATCTTTTATCATTTTCTGTAAGACTAAAGGGGTGTGGTAAGAATGTTTAAATAAAGACAAATATCTGGAAAATATAAGAAATAGTCCATAACCTGTTACATACTTACTATGATAGAATGCTTAGTGAGCAGTGGAAATCTATAAAAATTATCTAGATCCACTGAGGATAACGTAGAGTTGACTCTATTCCTGGAACAGTTAAAAGAAAAGAAAAAAAAAAAAAAAAGAAAAAAAGAATAAAACCATACTGAGAAACAGTGGCAAAGAAAAACAGAAAGCTATCACTTAAAAAAGACCAATAAATGCTCTAGACTAAGTAATTTTCTGAGTTAAAAATCTTGATAAGTTACTTCATTAAATGCTTGTCTACTCAGTTGAAATATATAAAATATCACGGCACTCAAATTTTTTGTTTGTTCTTCATAGATCTCTGCTTGTTGGTATCTATCAAAAGTGTTAAAAATGAGGAGCTTCACTTTAAACATGCAGCCCGATAAATGCTTTGCAATTGAGAGAGCATATACATCTCCAATTCAATGCTCAAGAGTGGAAGCAAATGGAAGTTAATGGCACTAGAAATAGTCATAATGATATGCTTGTCGTTCTTTGTAAAGGGAGAAATTTCGACTGAAATTCAAGCTGGTGAAACTAAGCAAACCATAAGGGAGAAAGACTGCCTTTAAAAAATATTTTCCTGAAGTTTTTGAAAATATCATGAAAGGAAATAAGACTGTGGAAACCACAATGTGTGCTCATTGGAATAGATACAATTGCAATATTCCTCTTTTTTCCTGATCTCAACAGTTACTTCCCACAGCAGCTGGGAAATAAAAAAATTCCTTAAGGAACTCTTGAAGGTCCAGAATGTAAGAACTGCATATTGTGCAATATCAGTAGTGCAGTACACAATTAGGTTACTTGTATCTACAGTCATCCCCCAAAACCCCCTAATTTCAGTCTGACCTTCATTCTAGAGAAAGTCTGCTTTCTTCACCAAAACAACTGTCTTTGCTCAGGAAGAACAGATCTATCTCACTTATGACTTATGAGGACAGACCTTTTTTTCAGCTATATTCACATGCTACAGGAAATCCTTTTCAGAAATTAGAACGATTTCAAGTCCTTCCATCAACAAATCAAAATTTAAAACACATCTTTCTGCCTTGAATTTCTGGAGCAAGAACTACAAAGCATCAAAAGCCCTTTGTAGTTAAGAATAACCACAATCAGAGATAAACCTCCAACAAAATGTTGCCTGGTCCCATAATAGCACAGAGATTAGTAACAAATAAGGTCTGACTTCTTCATTATTATTATTATTAGATATTTGAACTTATATTTCAGACTATTAAAAGTTATGTTCTCAGTAGAGAGCAAACAGGAAACATCTAGACTTCAGTGAATGATCCGGATACTGTCTATTAACAAGCTGCCCCATGGACAATGAAGATACCATATTTTATGTATTTTTTCAGACATGATCTTAAATTAAATCAAGAATAGCAGTCACGCACCTGTGATAAGATGAATTTCTATTAGAAAACTGGGATAATGAGTTCTCATCATCTATTAAAAGCTCCATTATCTGGTGACTAAACAGCACATTATCAGTGAAATAAAAAAAAAAATATCAAAATGAACCCATCTTAATTTAGCCTGAAAAGGTTATCTCAAGTGTATTTCCAGATGGGAAGACCTTTTAAAAAGATTATAAAAGAAAAAAATTCACTTGTGAAACATTATAGGGATCTGGTGTAACAAAGTATAAAAGCTCGAAAAAATGTCAGAAATATTTCACACTACTGAAAATCACTGTATAGAAACTGGACATTGGAGGGAAGGTAGAAAATGGTTATGTTCCTAAGCAACATGTTAAACCCCATTATGTTAACAAATAATATTATTTGCTTAATTTCACTGCTCTGTTACTTCACTGTCTTCAGAATACCTCTCCTCCTTACAATAGGATTGCCATTGCAAGGAGACAAAGATTAAAAACCAAGTCATTCCCTTGACTAGGAAAAATACTCCATTATCTCCATCCATTCTACAATCTTACTAATAATGCTTATGTAGTACAGTCTGAAAAATATAACTTTCTGTTTTGCTGATCTCAGACACCAGAGTGAAAAGAGTAGGCTTATTTTACTGGGCATAGCTAAATAATGTAAGAGTAATACAGAAAACATACAGTAAGAAAAGGCAGAATAGTGCACTTAAAGCAAACAAAAGGAAAATACAGGGTAATGCATCAAATCATTACTACATGAGAGAGAGAGAATAGTGATTAGGAAAGATCCATCACCACTTGCATATGTTACCATCATCCAGATCCACTGGGGAACCCCAGTTACAGCGAGGATTTGGAGAGCCTGTCCCGGCAAGTGGGAAATCCTACGCGGTGCGTCCACACATAGGTGAGGCTTCCAAAGTCGCTGTGAGCGGGTCCAGCCTTATATACCAGAGATCGGCAAGCCAGTTAGCTGGCACCTTTGTTTAAGCAGAAATATCTGGTTTCAATCTCCCATTAGATTCCCGCAGAGCCTGGCCAGTGCTCAAGGGAGAAGCTAAAGGAGTTTCCCTGCAGTTATCTTGTCCACATGCAAAGAAAGATAAAGATACATTCAAGATAGCTACATCTTGTGTACATATTTCACTAATGATTACATACTGAATTAGAAGTTTCGGCTCAGGGCCTGTCACTCAGGCTTCAATACTTCCACTTTTTACATCAGAGTAGGAGGTTTGATATAACATGGTATAATACCTACTAGCACAACGGTTATCAGTTATAAAATATACAGGATTCATCTATAGGTCAATTCTGGCTTGGGCCTATTGTCCAAGCCTTATCACTTCACTTACTTTCTGAAATATTAAAATTATAACCAGAAAGCTATAATGTAAGTGGAACTGGAAGGGGTAAAACCCTATCTTTATCTATGTAACTGAAAATATTATTGTGGCAATGACAAAAGATCTGGGAAGGTCAATATTCATTCTGCAAATACACTTATCTCCTAGTTTTCCTGAGATATTTTACCTTCATAAATCATTACATGAATGAAATTAAGTTTGTGTATACTGTTATTTCAAGCATATTTTATAAATCAACAGTGTTCATCTTGGTGTGAATACATGCACCACAAAGACCCACAAAATCCCAGAACAGGAAGACACATCTGGATCATCAGGAGCATCTTCTAGTCCAACCCCATGCTCAGAACATAGTCAGCCAGAGAAGGCTGCTCAGGACAGTGTCAAGTCAGGTTTTGGATATCTCCAGTAATGGAGGCTCCACAAATTCTTGGAGCAACAGGTAACGTTGCAATCATGATCATATTAAAGATTTTAAAAAAAATCTTCTGTTTCAATGGAATTTTCTGTATTTCAGTGTGTGCTCATTGCCCTTGTCCTGTCATTGGATACCACTGAAAGGATTTTAGTAACTCCTTCTTCCCTGTCCTGATCCAATATCTAGGAGGGTTCCTAAACAATCCCAAGAGCAAGAGTTAGACATAAACAAGGTCAGATGCTGAACAAACCTTGTAATCTTTATTGCACAAAATAATGGATAATAACGATAGGACAGAAGGAAGAAGAAAGGAAAAGTCAGAATACCTAAGCAAGCAAACAAAAGTGATGCAGCAGTACTAGTTACCACAACCACCATGAGTCTAGCATCATTCCATTGAACTGGTTCCGGTGCAGGTGATGGGGGTGGGCGGGTGTCCTGCAGGCAACGGGGAATGTCACCACCGTGAGTCCAGTGGTGTCCTGTTGGTCCGGTCTTGGTGCAGGCGATATGGGGAATCCCACAGGCAATGGAGAGTCTTCTGTAGGCCATGAGGGGAATCCCTGGTAGGCAGTGGGGAGAAAGGTTGGCAGCTGATGGAGAGAAAGCAAGCTGCCCAGAGAGGACCACGCAGTCCCTACCATCAGTTCACATGTTGCTACAGAGCTCATTTGCATATTCACACCCCATGTTCCCCCATGTGCGCATGTCCAAATGTCCACAGTGGTTGTACCAGCCATTGACGCCTTCAGCCTCCACCCGTCCCCCTCCTCCCCTGGCCCTGCACGCATGCACAGCTTGATGGGTGCTGTTCTAACTTCAGGTAGATTTCATCCTCATGGCAAAAGGACATTGAGGCCTGCCCTATGAAATGGTGTGGCACTGAAACTGTCAGCTGACATAGTCTGACAGTCTTACACAACCCCGTGGCTTGGCGGAGGTAATGGCATAACAGCAATGACAAGACAAAATGGGTGACACAGTCCCTTACATTCCACTATCAGATATTTATACACAATAAGATCCCTTTCAGCCTTCTCTGCTCCAGAATGAACAGTTCCAGCTCTCTCAGCCTCTCCTCATATGACATGATCCAAGCCCTTAATCAACTTTTGTGACCCTTTATTAGACACATTCCAGTATATCCCTGTCTCTCTTGTGCTGGGAAGACCAGCACTGGACCCAGCACTCCAGATGTGTCTCATCAAGTCTGAACAGAGAGGATGGATCACCTCCCTTGATCTGCTGGCAACATTCTTCCTAATGCAGTCCAAGACACAGTTTCCCTCTTTGCACTGCTGGCCCATGGTCAATACAGGTCCACTAGGACTCCCAGGCCTTCCTCTGAAAAGTTGCCTTCCAGGCATTTGTCATGTCCCAGTTTCTCAGGGTGATGACTCAGATTTGCTGATTCCCAGGTGAAACGACACCAGGGATTCTTCACAAAACTCAGTTTTTATTTGCTCACAACAGATAACAGCATGAAACTTTGTCGGTAAGCCTTGCAACCTCTGCAACAAGAGGTAAGCTTCATAACATACACCAATGAACCTTACAATATACACCGACTAGTGGCAGATTTTATCGCATGCCCCGACAAGCCTTAAACATGCCCCAACATCCTTATACACAGGGATACAGGGATAGAGAATGGGAGGAAAAAGGACAGGACAAGAGGAAAAAAGAGGGAGACAAGCAAAAAAGAAAGATTTCACCAATCCTGCTTCCAGAATTGGTCCAGCCAGCCTAGGGGTCAAGTTCCAGAGGGGCACTGACATTTGGGGCTTTCACTCATCTTATAATTCCTCGCCCCTCCTCTGGGTGGGCAATTGGACTGAATTGGATACAATTAAGAAATTTATTATAATTATGTTCATGTAGAAAATAAGACAGTTCAAGTAACATTTTAATTGTACTGGTAACAAGTTTGGGTTGGTGTTTTTTCAGTTTTGTTTTCAGTTGGAAGCTGACCCTACATATATATGGCACTGGATACAATTCCTGCCTGGCCAGTTGTTTATAAAAATATAAAGAACTACATAAAACTTACCACAGAGCCTTAAAATGCAGTAGTGTTGCTCCCTATAAAAATTGGATGAAAAATGAAGCACTCTCTGTGAGACAAAACAGTACCAATTCACAAGTATTGGTTAGATGTCAAAAGTGCTTACAAAACATACAACAGAACATTATGCTGGTTCTGAGAATTGCTCCCCACTACAGCAAAATACCCAGAGATTTGAGCTTTGATAAGAGAGTTACTTGGTCATAGACATTAGTGACACTGCTTCATCATAAGTAGAGGAATACACATAAACCAGAGAACAGTTAAAAAATACTTCACCTGACAAAGTTATTTTCCATAGTTAATTTTCATTTTATAAGACATATCTTGTGCACAATTTTATACCACAATTAGACTGTGAATTGGATTCATTCAGGAATGTCACAGCCTTTCTTGTCTGTGAGGACATGTGAGGACAGCAGGGAGCTTTTTGAAGAGTTAGATATCATTACCTCTGATACAATTTCTTTCTTGTTCTGTTAGTGGTAGTTTTGGTCTGGTGAGACCTTTTCTAGACATTGTTATTTCACCCCTTTCTTGATATTCCTTTTTGTTGATAGTGTGCTCCGAGTCTGTCCAGTTTCTGCAGGCCTATTAATGACATTCTTATTGACAAAATATCTGAAAATACAAATATATTGTTTTGTGCTTGAGAGAAAACTAAAATGAAGGATATAGTGTACAATCCCCCTGAAAATTTGTATCTTGCACAAAGGAAATATACTGGTCATCAACTAATGAGACATAACTTGGTGTTTCAACCCATGGAAAGACTGCTGCTCCTACTCCATTCCTGAACAAGCATCCTCAACAATAAACAAGCTCATAGCCCTGCTTCTGTGTGTGACATGGCTCCCCCAACTCCCACTAAATCCACAAGTCATTAGAACCTCTTCCTGAAGGGAGATATTTTAATCAAGTGTCTCATGTCTCTCTCCCATTATATAATGGGAGATTCTGATGTTGCAAGAAAAAGACATTTTAGACTAATGTCTCTGGTAAGGAAGAAATAACTGAGAGTTTTTCATTCAGGGCAGCCAAGAGAAGCTATCTTTCACATAGATGCAAGCATTGGTCATGCAGATGCTCCTGGCCTTGCTGCTGTTTTCAGCTCCGATCGAGTTGCTTCAAGCAGTGTGGTTGACCGGGGAGTCATTTTTTCAAACAAGATGAAGTTACTAATCACAGTACAGGACAGTCTAAAGTCAGGATCAGGAGTTACTGCCTTACAAAAAGCAGCATATTTGTGCAAGACAGCCATTTCTGGTTCTGTTCAAGTTCTCGCAGCTGTCCAGGATCTGTCTTTTGCTTGAAAAATAGCAGGATAGTGTATCAACTCACACCTGCTACTTGAATAGTCCTCATCTCAAAAATGAGGAACAGAGTCCAATATGAACTCTTTCACACACAAAAAGATCTTTGTCATGAATAATACTAATTCCATCAGTAAGCAAAAAGGACAATGTACCAACAGCATATCTAAGGTCTTGCCCCGTTTGTCTAAATAAGAAATATAGATCAGGACTCTCTTATTAAGGTATTTCTACCCACCATTCATGTATATTATACATGATGTAATTAATAAATAGCAATTAATATACATGTAATAGTAATCACTGTACATGAAATAACATCCATTGAGTATGTTATGCTAGTACTTCAAGAAAGCCTTTGGTCTTCACAACTAGTAGAGGAAAGACACTATGAACTGCAGATATATAACTGAACCACAGCTTTTAAATGTGTCTTAATTTCTACATACGTTTAAATGTAAGTTATGTTCCAAATTTCTGGCATGCTAGACCTAAACGTACAGCAAATTTGTATTTTGCAATTATTCTGCCACATCTTCAGATACTATTTAAAAGCATTCTAAGCAGAGAGAACACAACAGTATCTAAGCATTTTCATTAATTGTTTTCAAATTGATTTTTAAACAGAGTGATATATTTGATAATAAACCTGTCAGGACTGAGATTTTTTGTTGTTTTTAACAGATCTCATTCTGTGCAAAAATTTTTAATGCTCACATTTCAGTGAGATGTAAGCCACGCTTGGCAATCGTTTCTTAGTTTCCTAACTCTGATACCTAGAGACCATTTTTCTGTTTCCATAAGTGCTTCTACAGGTAAATATTCTGAATTGCTTTTAAGTAAATTTAGATAGAAAAAAACCTAGTTTTTCCATTTACACTCTATCTGCCAGTTCATTCAGAAACTGATATCATTAGGAGGATTGATGAATTTTAACAGAAAAATAACATTGGATGTGAATTTAATAGTTCTGCATGTAGTTAAATAGTTTTGTGTTCATTAGTTACCTAAAACCTGTTTTCTTTTCGTTGGACGATAACTCAATAACTGGGTTAGAAGCAGATTTTAAAGTCTCGTGTGTCTG